TTATAGGAAAAATGAAAGCTGATAGGCACCAAGGATCCTCATTAAAATCTCATTATGTGTCTCTGTAAATGGCAGTTTATATACCTAAGATGCAAAGTATTATGAGAATCCCAGTTTTTAGATTTTTTTTTTTGAAGTCATTATTGAATTTCTTACAACACTGCCTCTGTTTCAAGGGGTTTTTTGTTTTTGTTGTTGTTGTTGTTTAGCTGCAAGGCATGTGGGATCTTAACTCCCCGACCAAGGATCAAACCTGCACCCCTTGCATTAAAAGGTGAAGTCTTAACCACTGGACTGCCAGGTAAGTCCCGAGAACTTCGGTTTATTTCAGTAGCTGCACCATTATTTTAGCTTCCCAAACTTAAAATCTTACATAAATTTTACCTCTATTGTCTCCTATAGTTCATCAGTCATCATGATCTAATATGTCTTCCTTCAAAATGTCCACAAGGGCTTCTCTTGTGGCTCAGCTGGTAAAGAATCCCCTGCAATGCAGGAGACCTAAGTTCGATCCCCAGGTTGAAAAGATCCCTCGGAGAAGGGAAAGGCTATCCACTCCAGTATTCTGGCCTGGAGAATTCCACGGGGTTGCAAAGAGCTGGACGTGACTGAGCGACTTTCACTCAAAATGCTCTTCTGAATACAAAGCAAATATTTCCAACTTCAAAACAACACACACACATACACAAAAGAAGCCTGACCATTAAAAAAGAACATTTTTCAAAGAATGAGAAATATTCATGATATGCTGAGTCAAAAAAAAAAAAACAACAAATCCCCACAAGGAGAAAAGTGCATAAATCCAAGATTTATAAAGGAAAAGAGCAATCATCATTTAAAAAATAATTTGAAAAGAACCACCACAAGAAAATGTTAACAGTTGGTCTTTCTGCTTGGGGGATTTTATAAGGGGCTTTCCCTCGTTTCATACTTTCTTTGCATTTCCTAAATTTCCTACCATGAACATACATTATTTTCAAACTTAGGAAAAATATTTCAGTCATAGCCTCATTTCACCACCTGTGCTTCCTCACAGCACGCTGAGTCCTTATCTGACTCTTTGTAACCCCGTGAACGTAGCCCACCAGGCTCCTCCATCCATGGGATTTCCCAGGCAAGAGTACTGGAGGGGCTGCTATTTCTCCATCCTCACTGCTCCTGTCCTAACTCCTTACAGCCTCTTCCTTCCCCAAGACTAACAATAGTTGTCTTCCTGAGGTATCTGAAGCCGCTTCTCCCTCCTAACTTTAACATTGCTTGTACTCCTGCTCTGAAAATTCATCATTCATACTTATCTAAAGCACATGGAGGCAGAGGCCAGCCATGTAAACAAAGCTTTAAAGAGGGTTTCTCAAGCTCCTCAGCACTGACATTTGGGGTAACGAGTTTTCGTGTCCTGCTGCAGGATGTCTAGCAGCATTCCTGGCCTCTATCCACGAGATGCCAGGAGCACCCCACCCCCCAAGTTGCAACATTGCCAAATGTCCATGTCCCTGACGGGCAAATCTGCCAGTCGTTGAGAATCACCGTTGAAAAGTCTGTAAACTTCTAGTACCATCTCTGTCTCTGCTTTATATTTATGTCAGATCTAAACTTCTGTGACCTATGAGTCTTATATAACACTTCTGGCACTCTTCTGCCATAATCTTCTTTTCCTCAGTAGGAACTTTCCAAAGAGACCAGACTTACTGTACCCTAGAAAAATCATTTTCACTCCCAATTCCAAATCTTTGAACACACTGCTACCCCCTAAAATTCCCCATTCATATTATTCAAGGTCCTACATCCAATCTTTAGCTTGGGTTCTCTGCAGAAGCCTTACTGATCTCAGTCCAGTTCACCACACACCCACTGCACTCATGAAGAAAATCTCACATATCTTTTTTTTTGGTGGTGGTGGTGGTTGTTAATTTTATATTCCAAACTAGACTAACTTCCCTCAGGTTTTGCTGCCCTGGCACATTTCTTTTGTGTAACTAATTGGGCCTAACAGTGCTTGGTAACTGATGAATGAAATTTAAATGTTCAGCTGTAAATAAGTGTAAACGGTTATTTCTTCTGAAATGAATTTGCTTTTGAATCCTATTTCTTGTCATGGAGTTATTATTTAAGCTAATTCAGCAAGTTTTCAGAAACAAACACTAATATACAATGGTATATTTTAAGGAATACATAGGTTTCAAACTCTACACTTTTAGGAAATGATACAAACGAATTAAAACTATAAACTACAACACAAACTTAAACTTTATACATTCTATTTATCTTAAAATAGCCAAATGATTTTTTTGCTTAATGCACACAACTTAAGCATGTCCACGGGAGAACTCGATTTAATAGCATGTGCATGAACACCAACGCACCTCACAGGTATATTATCTCGCCAGTTGAGAGAAGTAAATGAAATGAAACTGCTTTGTAAACTAGAAAGAACCACATGTAAAGGAGGCAGTAGAGAAATATAACTAAAAGAGTGGAGCCGGTTTGCTTGGGTCCCAATTATATTAGCTGTGTAATCTTGTACAAGTCACTTTTAACTTCTCTGTGCCTCAGTTTCCTCCTTGTCAAAATGGGGATAATAACTCTGCCCAAAGCAAAGTTCTTAAAACAGTGCTTGGCACACAGAAAGCACAAAAATGAATATTAACCAATGTCATTGTTACAACGCTAATTATTGGCCAAGTTAAAGCCTCAATGTATAAACTTATGATTCAAGTCTGAAATTGTTTAAAAAAAAAAAAAACACAACGAAATAAACTATAGAAATTGAAGCTATTAGGTAGACTAGTTTCTCAAAATTTTTGCCAAGTGCTAAACTGGTGATTGTTACAGACCTACCCCGGCAGCGTCACGCGGGTCAGGCCGAGCAGAGGCCGCCGCGGGGCCTGCAGGTGGGCCCAGGGCGCGGTCAGGCCCGGCCCCGGCAGGGCAGCCTCTGGCGCGGGGCTGGCGCAGGCCCGCTCGTCACTTACCGGCGCCTCATGGTACCGCGGCGCCTCCGCCCAAACCAGGCGCTGACCGACTGCGCCCGGCAGCCCAGACTATCCCTCGGCTCCCCGGCCGAGATCCAGGAACGGCCATTCAAACGCCGCCGCGCGCGCGGCCCGCCGGGATAGCTCCCCCTAGGGCTTCTCGGAGGCTCCGCCCAATGCTGGCTCCGCCTCTTCAGGTGGCTCGGGGTTGGAGGGAGGGGGAAGACAACGTGTGGCCACAGTGCCCCCTGGTGGCCACAGGTATGCAGTATGTAGTCGTGCTATGTCTGATGGGGCAAGTAATACTGCTCTAGGAACGGAGTGTAAAAGTCAAATGACCCCGCGCTAGGGACATTCTAGTGGATGAAACCGTGCTCTAAGTGTTGGACCAGGAGGAGCAAACAATCTGCTATAAAAATGTGGTGCAGGGAGAGATTTATTCACTCACTCTCATTTAAGTGCTCCAAGGCAAAAGTTTTGAAAGGGCAGACTGGAGCTCTGCGACCTTTGGGAAATCATATAAACTCCCTTCAGCTTTGGTTTCCCCACCTATCAAATGGGGTTATTAATGGTTATTAATGACTCATAGTTCTGAGGATTACATGTTAACACATAGAAAATTCTTAGAAGACTGTATCTGGCACATGGTAGTATCAGTCAAACACAAGCAGTTTTGTTTTGACTCTTTGTGACCCCATGGTCTGTAGCCTGCCAGGCTCCTCTGCCTGTGGAGCTCTCCGGGCAAGGATGCTGGAGTGGGTAGCCATTCACTTCTCCAGGAGATCTTCCTGACCCAGGGATAGAAGCCAGGTCTCCTGCGTTGGAGGTGGATTCTTTACTGTCTGAACCACCAGAGGAGTCCAGCACATAGTAAGCACTATGTAATTGTTAGCTCTTATTTTTCACTTCCTAATACTTGCTAGACTCTTTTCTGGACTCTTAAGAACACAACAAATATGCATGATGTAGACCCTGTCCCCAGGAAGCAGGCTCAGTTTCTTTAGGATGGGGAACTCTGAGATGAGGTTAGGGTTGGGTCTGAGGTGCTTTTTAATTATCGAGGGCAATTCTCTTCATCATAGTGGAGACAGAGTCTATCTATCTTCAAAAGTAAGCTACTGATCAAATTGTGGTGGGAGCAACTTTATCTTTGGTGGGCCTTTCATCCCTTGCGGAAGCCACCCAGGTAGTGCATTTGACGAAACAGTTCACTGTAAGAGTCCACACCCCCCCAAAAGACTTCACACCCCTAGCTCACTGCTTTTCGCACTCCATTAAGAGCTCCCCAAGGCTGCCTAAGGAACAAGTTGCCTAAGTTGGGTTCAGCAATATTTTTGAAGGCCCACCATTGTGCCAGGGTGCACTCTACAGGGAGACAGCTTGGAGGAGCTCACAGTGGCCTGGATAAATAGGGAAGGTGATCATTCCAGTACACTGTAGTGAATGCAATGATAAAAGGTTTACCCTAATGCTCTGGAAGTTCAGAGCAATGTGAGGCCTGGCAGAAAAATTAATCAGAGCTAAAATATCACTTTGTGATAATAACAATATATTTTTCCTATCTAGTAACAAGGCCCTTACTAAATACACACACACACACAATTAAGTAATGGTAAAAAATTTCAGGCACTACTTGAGGTTGATGGGAGAAATACTGTTGGGGTATGTTTTGCACAAGCAGTCTTGGAGAGCTTCTCAGATCGTACCATGCATGCACAAGCAGGCACATGCCTCTGCATGGCGCCCCGCCTGTTAACAGGTGGGAGGGTTGAGAGTCCCACAAGTTGAGTGAGGAAGCAGAAGCTCTGGGTTCTGGGGATGTGTAGTGTAGAACATTCCCTGAGTAGGACTTACACTAAGTGGGTGTGCCATTTTAAAGAAAACTCATACGTGGGTGAAGTCACTTTCTCTCAAGCTATTTCTTCATCGCCATTATCACAAACAGGAATTTCTTGACCTACTACACAAAGGCAATGTGCTAGGCCCTCCCCAGAAGAGGGTGAAAAGAGTGTAAGGCATAGTTCTTACCCTCAAGGAAGGCTGGGTGATGAGGTAAGACAACTAACGGAGTCCCAGGACTCAGGGAATCTGCGGTGTTGACACAGAAGGATTTCGGCTCAAACAAGGTCTCCGGTTGTCTGAAGGCCAGAGGTGAACCTTGGTATTCTCATTTCTAAAACTTCTCAGGGCAAGAGTCTCAGGTAGGTTTGTCTCCAGACTCGGGTTCTGAGGTTTAAAGACATCTGACCCACATGGCTGCCAAACGTCAACATACCTTAAGGTGAAAAGAAATAAATTTGCCAAAAAAAAAGAAATAAATTTGCCTTCGTATTGCTATTTTGGAAATATATACCATTTTAGTGATGAAAATGCAGGTCGATTTTCTTCACTGATACTTTTCAGTCAATAAAATTGTATTCCCCCCCTCCTTGGAACTCAATCAAGATTTTTTAATGGATTAAAAAAAAGTGCATTCCACACATATTTTTATTATCCCTGCACCACCACACCTTATGCATAGAAATGTAGTTCTCGGAGAGCCCTACATGTAGTCTCAGAGAGTTCACCCCTTTAGCCATTCCCTCAGGCCTTCCTTCCGACTGCCTTAAATATTCCTTCCATTTGAGTGATCAGGCAGCCGAGTTAGCCTCTCTGCCCTACATCTCCCTCTTGCAGGGATATGGACATCTTTCAGGAACAGTGTGTAGAATAACTCTCGCTATAAACACCCACGTAAGAAAAGAACTCTCATGCCATGCCGTATGAGTGCTTCTGAGTGGAGATTAAGGGGCGAGATCATGTAGGAAGGTTGGAGTTGAGAGGATTTTGACGGTGGGAGAAATACAAAACAAATTCCAGGACTGCTCTCTATCCAGATTTGAGCCCGCTGGAAAGAGCTCTAGCTAGTAGCAGGAGCAGACTGTCACGTGACAGGTTGTGGAGATCTGGAATGATCAAGCTAAGGTGTTTGGGAAGGAAAAAATTATTAGAAACCAGTAAAAGTCTATTACTTATGGACAAGCACTGTTTCTATTTGAACATGTGTTTTTTTTTTCAGATGTTTTACTATGCAATTAAAACTATATTTAAGGACAGAAATGAGATCATATCCTACTTACCACTTTGTAAGCTGCTTTTTTATGATAAATATCATATTTTGTAGATCAATCCATACAAAATTAATTGAAGTGCCAATTTGTATAAATGCACATAATAATAAAAACAGCAGTTGAAACTTAAAAAGGGATAGGCATGGAGCAGGGAAGTGACAGAGTTACATCAGTACCTTGGAAGTATTGGTCTATCATCAGGATGCAAGACCGCTAGTGAGAGGAGGGAGGGAGGATTGGACTTTAGGTCTGAAGTGCGGTTGTTCAGGTCAGAGGTTCAGGGAGCCTGAACATTTACTATGGTGATGCCATTCTCACCCCTCCAGAATGATGCTGGGCTTGGTAGAAGACCAAGAGTGAAGAGATGTAAAACACAACAATAGCTCATCCTTTCCATGGCTAACTATATCCACTGCTCAGCCTCAGAGCCCCTGGAAAATTCCAGGCTTTGGCAAAGTGAGAAGTCCGTCCCTTTTATTCTGCCCCTCCCTTCCCCACCTTCCTGTGCAGACTTTGAAAGGAAAGAATGGCAGTCGGGAAAGTTTCAGATAAGACAGTACCACTGGAAACCAGCAAAGTGCACTCCTAGTTTGCAAGACTCACAGTCATTTCAAACACCCCCACAGCACACATGCCCTTCTTGGCGGCAGAAGCAGTGGTTTCCTGGATTTTGTTTGAGGGGTGGAGGGTGGGGACAGCTGAGTGGGAGCGGATGCTCCTGTTAAAGCTGTTTGTTTTGGATGCAGCTGTTACCCTTTGACAGCTGGAAAGCAGATGATGATATTTGTTATAGATTTTGCAAATTCGAAGCCCAAGAGACCATTTTCCTCCTCCCCCATAGATTTCCTGCAATTAGGTACACTGTCACCAAGTGAAAGAAGGTAGGAGGCAGCATGTTAGAGTGGAAAGAATGCTAGCTTTGGAGCAAGGTTCATCTCTAGCAGACGGCTAGATCACTGACTTCGGGCCCTTCCATGCCACTTTTACCTCAATTGCACAATGGGGAGAACAGTAACTCTTCTCTCAGGGGATGCTGGGGAATAGGGCAACCTATGTAAAACACTCCAATAGTACAGCCCACTGTGACTCTCTCTGAAATATTTCCCACCCCTAACTTTACCTTTTCAGTGATTTTTCTTTTTTTTTTTTTTTTTCCGGTGATTTTTCTAAGAGAAGAATACAATTTGGTTGACTGCTCCCTTGGAAAGCCAGACTTGGGATTAGACCAGCTCCAGGAGGTAACACTCCAATAGTACAGCCCACTGTGACTCTCTCTGAAATATTTCCCACCCCTAACTTTACCTTTTCAGTGATTTTTCTTTTTTTTTTTTTTTTCCGGTGATTTTTCTAAGAGAAGAATACAATTTGGTTGACTGCTCCCTTGGAAAGCCAGACTTGGGATTAGACCAGCTCCAGGAGGGGAACTAGTGCTGGGGAGACAGACTCGCTGTGGTGCTGATGGCCTGGCAATCAGTACATAGTATCTCAAAGCTATGACCATTCACAAAACAAGTCCAGTCATGTGGTTGCCTAGGGGGTTCCATACTATGGAGGCCTCATCACAAACGCATAGTGGAGAGGAGTTCAAAGGCAAGGTATGGGCAGAAAGGAAAGGAAATGGCAGGACAAGGAGCATCAGAAGCAGGATAATGTCTTTGGGAAGGGTACTTGAAAGAGCAAACAGGTCTACAGCCTCGAGAGACTGGAGCTGCAGGAAGACCACTAAAACTGAAGTCTGCTTCTTAGAGCCGAACACAAGGCCAAACCACTTTGGCAGTAACAAAATTGAGTCTGAACAGAAACTGGCTATGCAATATTAAATATGTTTTTTGGAACACCTGTTTTGCAAGATGTCGCTAGACTGAAAATAAAAAGAGGGAAGAAGAAAAAAAGGCTTCCTTGGCCATAGAAGTTTGGTAACTATTGGATAAAACAAGTATTTCTTTACTGTAGTATACCACTTCTCAAAGTCTTTAAAAATACTAACGTTAATTGTGACTTTAAAAGAAAGACAGGGGCTAATTCATTTCAATGTATAACAAAAACTACTGTAATGATGTAAAGTAATTAGCCTCCAACTAATAAAAATAAAAAAAATAAAAATAAAAAAATAAAAGAAAGACAGGAATTCTCTGGCAGTCCAGTGGTTAGGACTCCACACTTTCACTGCCAATGGCCCAGGTTCAACTCCTGGTAGGGGAGCTAACATCCTGCAAGCCTTGAGGAGCAATAAATAGATAGATAGACAGACAGACAGACAGACAGATAGATACAGGTGTGCAAGCATGCTCAGTCACTTCAGTCCTGTGTGACTCTCTGTGACCCTATGGACTGTAGCCCACCAGGCTCCTCTGTCCATGGGATTCTCCCAGCAAGAATACTGGGGTGGCTTGCCATGCCCTTCTCCAGGGCATCTTCCTGTCCAGGGATCAAACCTATGCCTCTTGTGTCTCCTGCATTGCAGGCAGATTCTTTACCTACTGAGCTACCTGTGCAACCCAAAGTTACCTGAACTCTGACATTTTTTTTTTTTTTACTCTGAATCTTTTTAAAGGGGAGAACACAAATATTCTACAGCATTATTCTCATCTACAAAGGGTAGCAGGACTAGTTCCAGTCCTGGGAAATGGAGTGTGGCTCCAGTTGCAGGCTGGGTGGAAAGGATTGTGGAAATAGGGCAGGGAGAAAGTGCAGTGTGGAAGTGCCTCATGATCTCAGCCAAGGCTGGATAAAAGCAACAGAACCTCAACATCTGTCAGAGGTATCAGACAATTAAAACAGAAACAAAAACCTGAAAGATTTAGCCATATTTTTTCCTTCGCCTCTCCTTCACCTTTTATAAAAATAAAAATATGGCCCTTCATGGAATAGCATGTTATAAAATATATGTTAAATAAGTAAAATTATAAATCAAAAAATCTGAGGGAGTCTAAATCAAACTATGAAAATTGTTATCACTTTTTTGCATGGTAGGATTTATTACCTTTTAAACTTACTTGTATTTTCCATTTTATACAATAAGTGTCTTTTTTTTTATAATTAATGTTTAAAAGTAACTTTACTGGGACTTCCCTGATGGTCCAGTGGTTAAGAATCTGTCTTGCAAAGTAAGGAATGTAGGTTCAATCCCTGGTCAGGGAATTATGATCCCACACTCCACAAAGCACCTAAGTCTACATGCTACACCTACTGAGCCTGCAAGCCACAACTAGAGTCCATGTGATGCAATGAAAGATCCTGCCCAATGCAACGAAGATCCTCTGTGCTGCAACTGAGACCCAACACAGCCAGATAAACAATAAATACATTTTTTTAAAAACACAGAAATAAAAAAAAAAACACTTTGCTTATTTATAGCAAATAGGAAATTAGAACTGCAAAATTTTTAAAGTTTAGGATTTGATTTGGCAGCTTTGGGGAATATTCTTTTAGTATTTGCGATTATTTCTCACTTGAGCTAGCCCTGGTTAGCTTAATTCATTTGAATGGAACCCATTTCAGAAGGAAACCTGTATTAGTTTCTAGGACCACGGTAACAAAGTACCAGAAACCTGAGTAGCTCAAAACAGAAATACAATCTCTCACAATTCCAGAGGCTGGAAAACCAATATCAAGGTGTTGGCAGGGCCATGATCTTTCTGCAGGCGCTACACAAGAATCTTTCTTCCTTGCCTCTTCCTAGCTTCTGGCTGCTGGGGCAATCATTGGCTTGTAGCTTCAGTGCTCGTCTCCCTCCACCATCCCATGGACTTCCACCCTGTGCATGTATCTGTGTGCCCGCTTTTCTTACCAGGACATCAGTTATTGGGTTTAGAACCCACCCTGATCCGGTATGACCTCATCTTAACTAATTACATCTGCCAAGTTCCTATTTCCAATTAAGGTCACATTCTGAGGTTCCAGGTGGATGTGAATTTGGAGGGGACACACTATAACTCACTACAAAACTAAAAATAATTTAGTCCACAAACTCTTGAAAGTACAAATTAGCACATCTTGGAGGGCCTATTTGGATCTATTAATATTGTAACTGTAATCTCTGTGGCAGGTGACCTTAATTGTATGAATCTCCTACACAACTATGTTGACAAAGTACCCACGGATATTTTCATAGTAACTTTTTTTTTTTTCATAACAGTGACAAATGGGAACAACCTAAATGCTTATCAATTAGGGACTGGTTATATTATCATACATTTATGCCATGTATACTCTCTAGCTTTTAAAAAGAATGAGGTAGATTTGACAGACATGGAAGACACTCAATATGGATTAGGAGAAGGAAATGGCAACCCACTCCAGTATTCTTGCCTGGAGAACCCCGTGGACAGAAGAGCCTGGTGGGCTGCTGTCCATGGGGTCACACAGAGTTGGACACGATTGAAGTGACTTAGCATGCATGCATGCATTGGAAAAGGAAATGGCAACCCACTCCAGTATTCTTGCCTGGAGAATCCCAGGGATGGGGGAGCCTGGTGGGCTGAAGTCTATGGGATCACACAAAGTCGGACACAACTGAAGCGACTTAGCAGCAGTAGCAGCAATATAGGTTAAGTGAGAAAAAAAAAAAGTCAGTAGACAGTGTATGTTTTCATTGATGTAATAAACTCCCACAAATTAAACAATCTTACATTTATTTTATGTTTTAAGGGATGACTTTATCTTTCAAAAGAACTTCAATAAGCACCAAAAGGTACTTATTATTCTCCTTCAATTCTTCTGAATCCCACTTCACCCTTTTATTAGTCTTCCTGGGGCTACTGTAACAAAATACCACAGAATGTATGGCTTTGACAACAGAAATTTATTTTCTCACAGTTCTGGAGGCTGGGAAGTCCAGGATGAAGATGCCGGCTGATTCAGTTCCTGGTGAGCACTCCCCTCCTGGCTTGTAGACAGACACCTTCTCACTGCGTCCTCACATGGCAGACTGAGAGAGCAAGCTCTCTGGTGTGTATTCTTCCACAGACACTGACCGCAGTGTGACAGCCTTACCTTCACGACCTCATCTAAACCTGACTACCTGTCCCCACAAAAGCCCCAGGTGGCACTAGAGGTAAAGAACCTGCCTGCCACCGCGCAGAGAGACATTAGGGTTCGATCCCTGGGTCCAGAAGATCCCCTGGAAAAGGGTACGCAACCCACTCCAGTATTCTTGCCTGGAGAATCCCGTGGACAGAGGAGCCTGGTGGGCTACAGTCTGTAGGGTAGCAAACAGTCAGACACAACTGAAGTGACTTAGCACACACACACAAAAGCCCCACTTCAAATACACTGGGAGTTAGGGCTTTGACATATGAATTTTGGGAGGACATAACAGTCCATAACAATTCTCCTTATAAAAAACTCAGGCTATAAAACAATGCTTTACAATGGAACCAACTGAAGCTTTTTAAAAATTAGCTCATAAAAAATGCCACAAAGGACCTGGATTGGTCATTCAGATCCTGGATGTAGAGACAGTTTACCCCACTTCCAACATACCTGAAATTGACCACCAGATGAATCCAGATTTACCAAGCTTGAAGAAACATGTTACGCCATCAGGGATGTATCATTATGACTCACACTATGGTTGTCATTCTTATTCTTTAATGGATCTGTGGGAATGGCAATGCTCCCAACTCCCTAAGCAAGTGCTGGAGGCAAGTGCTATAATGGGAACCTGTTAAAATGTGAATTTCACAACGTCCTCTTGAAATGAGAAAGGTAGTTGATAATGAAGAACGGCATTACTAGCCAGTCTCTTCTCCCAGCACCATATTAATTCATGTCACTGCTGACAGGGGCATTTCATGACACTAAACAGCCATGAACCAGAAACAGAAAAAACTGTAATCTGCACAGAAACGATGCAGAAACCCAATCTGCACTAACAAGGTAGGATCTTACCCCCCCAAAATATATATATATATTTTTTTCTGATAAAGGGGTTTGAAAATGCAAACAGACAAAATGGAGAAAAAATTTTTTGTCCTGTTAAAACCCTATTACTGACATGGAAATAATTGTACCATGAATGGTATAATAGTAAGGTGTTCCTTTTCAGGAGGCAATAATGATAGTAGAGTTAAATAACACAAATAACTAGAGATTGCAATAGAAGCTCATTTTACTGAAGCTGCTAAAAGGCTTAGGAGCTTTTTTTTAAAAACACTGGGGGAACTGGTTGAACCAGTGAGGCTAGCCGAATAGAATTATAATAGAGACACTGTAAAATAGCATAGACCAAAAACTTCAGAGGTAGCTGTAAAACTTTTTCCTTTAGAGGGATGCGTTCTCACAAATCCGGTTGTATGAACAGAAGATTTCTTTGTTCGTTTCAATCCAAATGCAGATGCTCTGAAGAAAATGGCATGGAGTATTAGAAACAGCCAGCTGCTTAGACACTTAAGGGCTTCCCTGGTGGCTCAGCTGGTAAAGAATCCACCTGCAATGTGGGAGATCTGGGTTCGATCCCTGGGTTGGGAAGATGCCCTGGAGAAGGGAAAGGTTACCCACTGCAATATACTGACCTGGAGATGGACTGTACAGTCCACGGGGTCGCAAAGAGTCACACATGACTCGGCGAGTTTCACTTCACCAGACCCTTCAAGAGGTGTTTGGGGATGAGAGGGGAAGACAAATGCCAAAACTGTCCAGTGGCACAAATTGTAAAAGTAAAGAAGGCAACTCATACGACTTGTGGAATCATGGTTTGCCTTCTCATAGTTTCTTTAATTAAAATAACTTGCTCAAAGCCACAAAGTAAAGGAAGTTTAATATTTATTTTTACAGCTTCAGTATTCCTATTATTTTCTAATTCAAATTTCTCCCAGTGGGGAGGAATACAAGGAGGCTCTCAAAAACTAATGATTGTTTAAACTACTGTGTAAATTCAAACCTTGTCATTTTAGAGCAATGAAACAGTCTTAAGTTAGTGGTTCTGAATCCTTGCTGCAAAGTAGAATTACCAGGAGAGCCACACAAAAAACACTGATGCATTTGATCCCCCCTAAGCAGACGAATGGAGAAGGAAATGCAACCCACTCCAGTACTCTTGCCTGGAAAACTCCATGGACTGAGAATCCTGGTGGGCTACAGTCCATGGGGTCGCAAAGAGTCGGGCACAACTGAGAGACTTCACCAAAAAAAAAAAAAAAAAAAAGCAGATGAAGTAAAATCTCTAGGTGTGGCCAAGAAGTTGGGATTTTTTAAGAGCTCTCAAGGTGAATCTCTGAATCATTCTGCTTTTAGGTTTAAAATCATGTCATGTTATAATTAATAACACTTATTTTTTTCTAAATCCAAAAGTGGTAGCTGCATAATGCAGAGAATTAGGAACACTATGGGAAATACAATTTTAAAAAATGATCTGAAATCCCATTATTACTTTATGTGTTTAGAATGTCTGTTTTCTTTGAATATACCATCTATGAAAGAATAATATGCAAAAAAAACTAGAAGTTACTGTTAGAAGTAATCTAGTATAAGTCCCTTATTCTATATATGAAGAAATGAAGGCCAACAGAGTTCCTTCCTCTCTTAGGAGTTCATTTGGAGTCAGGATTAGAATATAGGTTTCCCTTTACTTTTCTTGCAAAACACATTTTTGTGCAAAAACTTGGATCCATACAAGTTTTATTACAATCTTAAACTCCATTTCCATAAAGAATCTATTATTTCTCATGATATTCTAACAATTTTAAAGAATATCAGTCAGATCGTTAGAGTGACTTCACCTTTCTCTTGAATTCGAGCACACAGGTAGCCCCCTGTGTTCTACAGAACACTGATTTCATTGGAAACAGAGGTAATAAAAAAAAAAAGAGAGAGATTTCTCATTCAGGCAGATTGAAAAACAAAATGAAAGGAGTTTCTTTACTGCATCACTTCTTGTGGTTTTAGTGTTATACTAATAACACTAAGAATCTCTGGGATGTATGTGCAGAATACAATATCTCAAATTTATTTGACCTTGGAACCTTTCCTCCGTTCAATCTCAATAGCTTCATGTTCTTTGGAACACATTTCAGCAAATAACACTGTGAGATTCCTAGAATAAAGAAATAAATAGATCTGTAGTATCCTATTAGGGGCTTCCCAAGTGGTTCAGTGGTAAATAATCCATCTGCCGGGCAGCAGACGCAGGTTTGATTCCTGGATCAAGAAGATCCCCTGGAGGAGGAAACGGCAACCCACTCCAGTATTCTTGACTGGAAAAATCCCATGGACAGAGGAGCCTGGGGGGTGGGCTACAGTTCATGAGGTCGCAAAGAGTTGAATGAGACTGAGCCACTCGGCATGAACATGAGCACTCTAAAAAATTTTATACCAAGCAGAGGAGTACTTTAAAAGGGAAGGAGTGTATGATTCGAAGGACAATGGCAGCAATATTGGTTATAAAAGGGGAAGAAAACAGTAAACAACTTAAATACCCGGTAATAGGTTTAATTATGATATAGGCATATAATTAAATATAAAACCCAATCACTAGGAAGAATGTTGGAGATTAGTGATGCTAAAAAAAACACAGGACTTCCCTGCTGGCCCAGTGGTTAGGAGTCAGACTGCCAGTGCGGGGGGACACAGGTTCCATCCCTGCTGAGGGGAGATCTCACTTGCCAAGGAGCAATGAGGCCCCTGCACCACAACTACTGAGCCCATTCCCAGCTACTGAAGACGGCTGGGCCCCAGAGTTCTTCCTGCACAAGGAAGCCACTGCACCGCAACAGAAGAGTAGCCCCTGCTCCTCATAACAGAAAGCCCAAATGCAGCAACAAAGACGCAGCACAGCCAAAAATAAATAGATAAAATTTAAAATAAAATAAAAGACATGGAATGCATTTGTGGCAAGCACTCCATTTAAACTCAGAACAAGAATTGAAAGCAGGTACTCATGAAAAGGTTTGAAAACAAAGAATCTGACTTGCCCCAAAGTCACACAATTAAACAGTGAAGCCAGGACTCAAAGGGAAACTGAATCTCAAGCCCAAGAGTCTGAAAACGCCCACAGGCCTCCCAGGTTTTGTGCAGGGCAGGGATAGAACTATCTACGACGCATTGTTACTTTGAGAATTAAAGAATAGAATAAACACAAAGCTCCTAGAATACAGTGGACATTCAATACTCAGAAGCCACTAAATAACTCGCTCAAAGTTACACAATGCGTGGTTTCACCACGCATATAAAGAGATCATACGGATATAAACAGAGATTTGTGGTCCCAAGACAGCGTAAAAGTTGCAGAAGCCCTTGCCTTCGAGGCATTCCTGGTAGCTCAGCTAGTAAAGAATCCGCCTGCGATGCAGGAGACCCCGGTTGGATTCCTGGGTCGGGAAGATCCGCTGGAGAAAGGCTAGGCTACCCACTCCACTGTTCTTGGCCTTCCCTGGTTGCTCAGCTGGTAAAGAATCTGCCCACAATGCGGGAGACCGGAGTTCCATCCCTGGGTTGGGAAGATTGCCTGGAGAAGGGAAAGGCTACCCTCCCCAGTAGTCTGACCTGGAGAATTCCATGGACTGTATAGTCCATGGGGGTCGCAAAGAGTCGGACACGACTGAGCGACTTTCATTTTCACTTCACTTTCTTGGCTTCAACCTCTAACGCAGAGTCAGTATAGACTCTCCTCTGTCCCATACACCGCACCTCAGAGGTCAGGGAACACCCAGATAGTCTCTTCAGAAAGCAGAGAAGGCGCAACAGTCCCTTTAACACCAAGCTCACTCACCAATTGGCTGCTGGACAATTTCCGGGGCGGAAGTGACGTCTATAGTTACGCGCCGGAAATGACTTACAGAGTGAGCCCAAGAAGTCGCCGACGACTTTGGGCTGGAGATACGGCTTCGTTTGATCCAGAGATACGGCTTCGTTTTGATCCAGAGCTTTGCCGCATTGGTAGGCGGCCGTTGCCATGACGGCCCAAGGGAGCCTGGTGGCTAACCGAGGCCGGCGCTTCAAGTGGGCGATTGAGCTGAGCGGACCTGGAGGAGGCAGCAGGTGAAATGCTGGGCAAAGCTCGATATCAGAGCTTTCATTGTATAACTACCCCAGAGGAATAGGACCTGAGCCCTCAGGCACAA